TTCAGTTAAATTAAAAATGTAACTCTATGCCCTAGAAGAGTTGAGCAATAAATTACATACACATACAAACTTACAACTTTGCCCTCAAATATTTTCACGAATTCCGACTATCGCACAAACTGCTTCAAGAAACGTTGGGTGTATTGAGTTGGATTTCAAAATTTCAACCAAATCGGAGGGTTACACTTCACACCACCGCATTGTCAGTTAATTTAGCACACTTCTCGTTCACTACATAGACGCATAAACACAAGGTATCAAACTGGGTTACTCCATGAGTTATGGTAATGGACCTGATGTCAAAAATCGATTTTTTTGAAATCCTTCAAGTATGTGATAGAGGACCTTAAACTATGCCGAAAAATCATTTCCCCCGAATTTTTGAAGTTTCAATGTGGCTGCTAGGAGGGGGTGTGGCTTCAGTTGAGATACCACCTTTTCGCAGCCGCTATTGGACGCAGGGAATCCAAATTTCACACCAAGCTACCATTGGCCAATACAATTGCGGGTCGTTTTCTCTTTTTTGGAAATTTGGTCATGGTGACCGTTTTTAGGTCAAAATGTGCGTGTTGTCGAATTTTTTCGTAAATCGTCTCACATAACCCCATAAATGGGGCATCGTTAGATAGGTCTAGGCAAGAGGATTCAGAATATATATACTTTGTCCGGCATATAGCTGCCCCCTGACCTTCCAGAAGCAGTAGAATGAGAATTTTCATTGCTTCCAGATTTTAACACAGCAGCAGATTGGCGAGCTAACATTGAAATAGATGGGACAAACTCAAAAATATTTGTAAGCCTCAGGAAGACTGGGGAGTGGTCGTACACCCTACAAAGTATATATATTCTTAATCCTCTTGCCGAGACCTTTCCAACGATACCCCAGTTATGGGGTGAATTGAGACTTTGGCTTTTCAGAGAAATTTGACGTGTTGTGAATCTTGACCTAAAAACGGTCACCGTGACCTAATTTTCAAACAAGAGAAAAAGACCCGCAATTGTATTGGCCCATGGTAGCTTGATGTGAAATTCGGAGTCCCTGCGTGCAGTAGCGGCTGCGAAAAAGTGGTATCTCAACGGAAGCCACACCCCCTCCTAGCAGCCACATTGAAACCTCAAAAATTCGGGGAAAATGATTTTGCTGCATATTTTAAGGTCTTCTATCACATACTTGAAGGATTTCAAAAAAATCGATTTTTGACATCAGGTCCATTACCATAACTCATGGAGTAACCCAACTAGAAAAAATGGTACATAAATATGGAAAGAGGAAACTTGGGATTGAGAAAGCTTGATGGCAAATTTTTTTAGAAACGACGTATTTTTCTACTTATTATTTTGCACAAGTAACGGACATTCACATTCCCACCTATTTGCATTAACCCTATTCAATTTTTAATTGCTTTAACAAAAATATTATATAAGTGCGTGCGCACGTACTTACTTCAGTCCAAGAAATGCTTTTCTCCATTATGTTTTCATACGTGTATGTGTGTATGTATGTCTTATATCTTATGCCAACTCATTTAGCCATATCCTCCTATCTATTATTTATGTATCTATTTAATATGTACCAGGAACTATCAATTTTTCCCTAAAGGGTGGTCGAAGTATGTAGGAGTATCATGCAAAGCAGGCAAACCTCAAACTTCAGTGTGATATGTATGTACATACATCCAAAATTCGTAGCCACAGAGGCTAAAGTTTTTTAGATAATTTTTTTACCTAGTGGACCATAAGGTAGCCGTTAACATTGAATATTGATATTTGGGAGTGACTAAATCAAGTTTTGCATCATGGGGACCGGAAGTTAGTATCACTTTAACAAAAACTTTTCAATTAATGTTTACTTCATAGTGAGAATGGTATCTAGTTTTTGGGGTGATTCTTGACGGTCAGAAGGCCAGTTCTCAAATGGGATTGGTTTGGTCTACATAGATATTTCCCGGTCACCGTCCTTTCCACACATTTCAAAACCTTGCCTCTTCGTTTGCGATAGAAGCAAACATAGTGCTATTCAATTCACGAGAGAGATAAACTATAAGATAAATCATTGCCTCTCATTCAGTACCGTTTCGATTCCCTTAACGTCTTTGGCACTTTTAAACTATTCATAACCACCGTTTTTTCTTTAAACGTTAGTATGATATTGGGATCCAAATGTTGGAGCGTTTCAAGGTTGATTTGACTTAACTGGTCTCTTATCATTTTAAAACCGATACATCTTTGAACGATACTCACGTCCGGTATGCGTCAAAACTTTCTTGGGCCACCTCGCGATGGACTTCGATGTTTAGAGCCAGTCGATGATTCAGTAAGTCTGCGGGAACATATAATTATGTTCACAACGTCATGAACCCATATCTAGTAATTTCAGATATCTCCGGCCACCCTTTACATATTTCATTAAACAATATATAATCCCGCAAATAAAGGAAATAACGTATTATTATTTAGGAAGCGTAAGAAACCAATATCCGTTCATTAATTCCAAAGGTTTCCCAGAACACATTCATCATTTCGTGTTTCAGGGAAATCAAGAACATTACTAAATTCGCCTGCATAAATATATCAGTATTTGTACAATTTCTATGATCTCAGCGCAAGCTGTTGGAGCTGTTGAATAATTAGAGAGGACAAACACTTTTTGGCGATCGTAATAAATGCAAAATGAAAAAGATTAAAATCGTAGTTTATGAAGTACTTTAACTGATCAGTACTCCATCCTATACTGAGATGCCTGTAAGAATCAAACTTCTTGTATTATTGTTAATTTTATTTAGAAATTGTGAAACATGTGTTGCTAACTATGGAGGGAGAAATACTGAAAACCAAGCCACGGCAACCTGGCCATCATTTATTAAAATGTTAAACCGTTGCACACTTCAACTATTTTACGAGCGTAGGGATTATGTAAGTTCGAACATAATTTCCAATCAACTACAAGATCTGAATCGTCAACTCGGCTTTAATTACATAATAGAAGAGTTAAATGACCCAAAAAGCAGGTACATTAAAGCCAACGCTTCTCGTTCTGATAGCAAGGGCATTATCTTCAATTTCCCATACGCCGAAAGTTACTCCGTTTTGATGTTCTCAAATTGTCATGTCGCTCTCCTTTTTTCGCTGCCCGTGCCTACATTAGTACGAATGTGGGGCATGGTAGCTTTCAATGAAGATCCAGATTACATCATCATCTTCGACCGTTTCAGAGGGCTTTTAAATTGGCAATATAACTATTATTTCTTCTATAGTGCGGATTTCAGGCTGACGTCCATTATTTTATACACCGACATATCATCCAATGATATATCAATTGTGTGCAATACTTGCACTCCACCTCAACAGATTAGGTATCCGAGCTATAGGAACATATTGTTCCAAAAACTTTTTCCAATTAAACACTCAACTCTACCCGAGTTTTCTAAACAGTATAGGCGACTCATGAAAAATATGAATCAACACCGTATAAGATTCAATTCGATTACAACTAAGTTTTGGAATATCCCTTGTAGCTTAAAACATTGCGGGTTGGAGACATCTCAAACAACTTGCCCAGTGTCGGAATTAATGGAGAGGTTAAACTTTACAGTTTCCAAATCAAATCAAAATACTGTAGGATACGCTAGCTCAAATGGTATTTACTCTGCGATACAATTGAATGAAAAATTTGCTATGCCGGGATTAATCCTTCGAGACAGTTGGATGAGGTATGGTGCTGAATATAGGAAAGTTGGTTATATAACTTTCGCCCTACCAACTGAGTTAAATGCTAACGCTTTGTTGAAGATTTTTGATGTTTTGTCCTTTTCCATTTTAATATTTTTTGGAGTTTGCTCAAGTTTAATCATTTTTATGAATAAGAAATTTGTATTTGCCCCAGTTATGTGGACTATCAGCATTTTTCTTCAGCAGGGCACAAACTTAGTCATCAAATCAGGGGAAGCTAAGGCCACAAGGGTCCGTGTGTCTATGACCTATTTGGTCATCATAATTTGGCTGTTTAATTCTTTTTTCGTAGGAAGTATATTTAGTGGGGAATTTTTCTGCCTATTCACATCTAACAGACTCCCGCAATTGCCCAAAAATTTAGGAGAACTAGTCCAAGCCAAAAACATTGAAATGCTTACAATGTCAACAACAGCAGGTGAAACTGATGAAGGGGTTAGCTCTCTCAAAGAGACTGTTATCCCACAAATTCTTGAGGGTTACAACCACTCGCAAGAATTTACTCAGAGGTTAAGCGATCTCAAAGTAAAGGTTAAATGGTTCCGTAATTTGAACAATTTTGTCCTTGCCCGATGGGCATCGTCAAATAAACCACTACCTATTAACCAGACGATAAGTCAGCCCTCAATTTTTGTATTAGTTGACGCCTCATTTGTACTTCAGGAGGTGGAGTCTTGCTTTGGTGTTTTTAAGAAATACTTTATCATTTCCAACGACGAGGAGAGCTTTGGTACAGTTTTGTTGCCTTGGGTAACGACAAGAAGTCCATTTGGGGTGATATTTGAAGAACATATGGGTTATCTTACCGCATCTGGGGTATACGATAATTGGGGAAAAAACTATCAACGATTTACATTTCTTCAGGAAGTTGCAGCTTTTCATAAGTCCATGGAGAACCTTGGAGTTCCAGAAAAGAATTACACAAATTATTTTCAAAAAGCGGTAATAAACCGAAAAGATCTGGTGAAGGAAGGTGAGCAAATAGGATCGCACAATATTAAAATGCTATTTCTTCTTTATGCAATATGCGTTGGGATTTCGGCACTTGGTTATGCAAATGAAAAATATAAATTTACAAAAAACTTTGTATCATACTTATAAAATAAGTGTGAACACTTGGTATTGCTAGGTAGAGTTTAAGGAGGGTATTGTTACAATTATTGAGTTATGTTTTGCTTGTGATTATTTTCATATTATAATTGCACGTTATAAGGTCCAACATTTATACATAGTTCATTGTTTTTGGAAATAAATATATTTATCAATATATGTAAATGTTTTTCTCCAAATATATTTTATTTTTATTTTATATTTTACAGCACACGGAAATATATAATGTAAATAAATGAATTGATAAGAATTTCCCGTCCGGATTTTCAACCCGTACAAGGGTGATCATAAAGCACTGTTTGACGAGTGAATCTCTGCTCACAAATAGAGCATGAGTAGCACTTGTCAGGATGTACGCGAAGGTCATGTTCAATCTGCAATGGGATGTTTCGAAACACGGCGGGACACAATTTACAATTGCCCTTCGATTCTGAACTCTAGATAGAACAAAAGAACAGAAAATCAGATAAAATTTGGGCTCGTAAGAGCATAACTTCCTGTATTTCGAAAAACAAAGGGAGCTTCCATATATTACGTCATAATTTTGATAGGTTGGTAGGTTAGGTTTCCCTATCTTTCCCATGTTAAAATCACCTATTCGTTAATTGGTAGGTGGGTGCTTAAATGAGCAATTTCGACAACGTAGTATGTGGATAGTCTAACACTGACCATTTTTTGGGGAAATGCGCTTTCCAAGTATTTTTCCCACCTATTTGGGAACGTGTATATATTGCGTCATAATTTTAATGTGTGGGTAGTTTTGGTCTTTCTATCTTTACTGTTAAAATTTCCTATCTCTTAATGTATTTGTACGGAGGGCGGGTGGGTGTAGAATCGAAAATTTTTAATGACGTAAGATATGGATACCCTCTTATTTTCTATTCACGGGTAGACGATTAGTTAAAATTTTTTATTTTTTACCATTTTTGGGGAATCACACTCCTCCAAGTGCGTCACCCATTCAGCCTCCGAGTCAATCTCGGTTTCGCATCCGTACGGACAGGACGTCTTATCCGGAAAATGGACAAGCTCCACGTGGCGGTTCCTGGTTGTCGCGGTGGTGAAGGTTTTTGAACACATGGCACACGAATGACGCGTGTCTTGGCTTGACTTTGGGGAATTGTGATATTCATGCATGTGACTTTGCAATAAGTTCAAACCCGCGAAGACTTGAGGGCAAAGGGTACACTTCCGCATAGAAGGTCCATGATCGAAGCGTTTGTGTCGGTGTAAGCCGATGTACGAGGTGAAACTCTGGTCACAGTTTGGACATGGAAATCTGTTCGGTTTTGAGGGGACGGATCTGTAAAAAATGTGAAACCTTCATAATCATCGGACCTCGGCTGTTTATTTTCAAAAGTCCGAAATACTGTTATTACATATTTTCTAAAAAATGGCTGAAAAATTCTTTTAAGTGTTTTTTAACCTTTTTTTGTGCATAATCGAGCAAAAAAGTGTGAGAAAATGTACATTAAAAACGCGAAATATTCATATTTTCGAATTATGCTGTCACATTGAAATTGTTTTTCTTTTTTGTAACAGTGGTTGATACAGTGACCCGTGTTATAAGAATTAAAGACAAATTGTGACATCAAACTATACTAAATTGAGTAAGTAGAAAATTCGGATTCTAGGAAATTGAGGGAAATTGATACTCACCGCTCTATTATGCTCGATTCTGCTGTGGAAACTAATTTAACAAAATGATACTTTAGCATTTATTTTTATTGGATGAGCAATAATCTTCGCAATAATTTTTCCATCTATCGGAAAACTCACCCGGATGAACATTCTTAACATGCCGACGGAGATCCCTATTTCTGCTGTATGTCTTGCTACATATTTTGCACGCAAATTTCTCCGATGGTAATCGAGCTGCCATGTCTAAAGTTAATCAATAAATTTGGATAATGAATGATTGCTAAGGGCTGTTCATAAATTATGTGTCGTAATTATTATTATTGTGCAATTTGTACTAACCGGAAATATCGGGGTGAATCTTCTTGTTCTTTCGGTGGCGCTCGTAGGAGTCACTCCTGCTAAATGTGACGCTAGGTTGACAGATTTTGCACACATATTTTGATTCCGCCACCGGGACGTAGGAATTTACGAGGTTGGTAATTTCTGGCGACATTTCGAGAGGATCAGACGTGATTTCGTGACGGTCGTCATCCTCCTCGTCGTCGTCGTCGTCATAAACTGGTTCAACTTTTACGGGGAATTCTTCCAGACATCCGGGTAATTGTGGGTCGTCTGCAGTGTTCTTGCCGGTAGGAGACCCGCTGTCAGAGACTTCATTCGATAATTCTACAATAAATGTTAAATTAAACTGTAATTATTAAACTGTAATAACTGTAATATGTTAAATATGTATGTACTATTCAACAAGAATTAGCACATTTTGAAACAAAATTGCTAATTAAATACTGCCATTGCAAACGGCTAAGCTTGGGGGTGTTTGATAATGTTAAAAATTCACGCGGACTTACATCAGCTAACGCTAATGATGATGTACTCAGGCGCCAAATTTTTTTGCGAATGTGTCAACTTTGTTTTTGCTACTGGTAGCGAATATGTGATAAAACTTACCGGAATCAGTTTCAATTTTTGGGCGAATATTTCCGCTTGAAATTACGGTACACCGATGATAATCGAGGACACATTGGCGGGTAAATTTTTGCTCACAAGTGGGACAAGAGTAGCAATTTTCGGGATGCACGCGCAGGCGATGTTCTATCTGCAGAAGACTGTTGCGGAATACGGCGGGACAAAATCTGCAACTGGATTTGGACTCTGGACTCTAAATTATAGTTAAATAAAAATTAGATAATAAACGGGTGGGGCGATTTACGGGTGGTTGTAAAATTCTAAATTTTAATGACGTAATATATGGATGGCCCCTAATTTTCGCTTTGTGGGAAGAGGATTACTTAAAATTCCTGATTTTTTTACCATTTTTGGGGAATCACACCCCTCCAAATGCGTCACCCAGTCAGCCTCCGAGCCAATCTTGACGTCACATCCGTACGGACAGGACGTCTTGTCCGGAAAATGGACCGCTTCCACGTGGCGTTCCTTGCTTGTCGAGGTGGCCAAGGTTTTCGAACACATTTCGCAGGAATGACGCACTTCTTGGCGTGATGAGACGGGGGCTTTGTGGTATTCCTGCATATGGGTCTCGAATAAATTCGACCGCGCAAAGATTTCTGGACAAAGGGCACACTTGCGCGCGAAAGGAACCAATCCATGAATGATGCGCTTGTGTCGGTGTATGCTCCTGTACGAGGTGAAACTCTTGTCACATTTTGGACACGGAAATGGGTTCTGTTTTGGTGGTACGAGACTGTAAAAATTCAGAAAATTTGTGAAAACATGCAGGTATTCTTAATTTAAGAAGATCATTGGCCGTGTCAATGAAGCTTAGGCTTTTTTCATAGATTTAATTCTTTAAAAAACATGAAAAATCTGAAATTCCAGGAAATTAAAAAAAAAACTCACCTTTGAGTAATGTTCGATTTTTCTGTGGAAAGAAATTTAGGATAGTTTAGAATGTTTTTTATGCATTGTGATTTTAAGATCGAGTTAAATACCAGATTTTTTTGTACGGGAAATCTTTGCAGGTATATTCTCGCCCGGATGTTGGTTCCTGAAGTGCACCTTTAGCGCATTATAACGGGAGAACTTCTGGCCACATAGCTTGCACTGGAGCTTTTTTGATGCTAAACGAGCCTGGATACCTAAACAAATAAATGGATTACTTTTTGTAAAATGTAAAGTGGCACAATTATGGTGCCTAATTAATTCGAGTCGATGGACTCGATCATAGTTTCGAATTTCAGTATCCACCTAGCAAAAATACGGCCCACTTTTCACTATCCCATGTTCATTCAAACTAAAAAAACAACTGTCCACCCAAAAAAATTACTGTCCGCAAAAAAAATATTGTCCAATATCCACCGAATTTTTCTTCTCGCCACAGATGTGACAAAAATGTAGAGCCTTAGACTCCCTCTCTAGTGTTACATAATTTATGAAAGACGCCTTGGCCAGAAAAATCCCCCCTGAGTACAAGGCTTTACACCCTTAATTAATGTAATTATGCCTGTAAAAATTATTTTGCAAAACTCACGGGAATTAATAGCAGCGGCTACGTCTGGGTGAAAATTTTTGTTCCTCATGTGTACCATGCGGGTCTTGGCGGATGTAAAGGTCACGTTCGGTTGGCACATGGTGCACACAAAGGGCGATTCAACGGAATTTCCTACGGGGTCAAGGTCGTCCCCATTTTCTGACAAGTTGAGAGGGTCAGACGTGATTTCGTCATCGTCGTCGTAGGTTGGCTCAACTTTTACGGAGAATTCTTCCTCCTCAATGCATCCATTCAATTGTTGGTCATCGTCGTCGTCACTGTCGGGAATCTGGTCAGCAGCGACTACTTGGAGCGAAAATTCTGCGTGAAGTGATGAACATATTAATTTGTTCAATTCCAGTTTAATTTAACACGATTAATTAAGTAGATTTTTACTTGCCGCTAATTTTGGCATCTTCATTTCGCAGTTTATTGAGTAATTCGTCACAAGTTGGCTCGAATTTTATCGTGATTTTTTCCTCCTCTTGAAGGCGTTTAGTTAATTGCTGATCATCGTCAGCGTTGGAAATTTTGTCAGTAGGAGAGGCATTTCTAGTAGCTGTTTGATGAGACATAAAGGCTTAATTTAATTAGTTTTATTTGGCACGACTAATTAATTAGATTGCAACATATTTAATTTACCACTGATTTTGAATTCATTTCCCAGTTTTTTAAAGAGTCCGTTCCTGCTGGAAATGACGGCACGGAGAGAAATGGTAATATTTTCAATCTGCGTGGTCAACTTGGCCAAGGAGAGGATCGCGGAGGAGCAAATTTTGCAACAAAATATTGCAGGATGATGATCAGTTTGTAAAATGTGTGAAATTTGCTCCTGATTTAAGACAAATTTGGCGAGAATGTTCATTTCCTGTACGGCGAGAGGACGCAGATTTGTGCCAGATTCGGTGCAGATTGAACAGGGCGACGTTAATAATCTGGGGGATGAGTTGTCCCCCTCAATTTTCAAAGGAAAGTTGTCATCTTGTTGGGATCGCGTTGGGGGGATGAAATTTGACCTTTTGAGGAGTACCGTAGAGGAAAGTAAATCTTGCAAAATGTGTCCTGTCCCATGTTTCCTGACGTTGACTTTCGTCATTTTAGCTGTAAAGATAACAGTGCGGTTAAAATTGTATGTTTCCTTTAGTGGAAAATTTCAATTGGAAATATACCCTGATTTAGAGTAGTTTTTATTTAATCAGTATTTATGTAAGTTGCAAGTTTATTATTGGTTTAAATTACTCCCATTACTTATTGCAAGATGGTAAAAATCAGGTATTTGAATTGACCATATTTATGGAAGTAAATTCAGTTAATATTTAATTTTAAACGACTTTTAGGTAGATATAGATTTATTTTGCTTTTGTAAACTGCTGATTTGCTCGTGTTTTGTGTCGAGGGCCGCCTGCATGAAAACGGGGAATCTGACAAAGGAGTGAATTGTGTCGAGTTTTTCTACTTTCTCCGAGTTTCTCCTCTCGAATTTCGTTCATACGTATGTATACAGTACAGGCAGAAGGTCATTACACCCTCGAACTTTTTGCTCTTAGATTGCTCGGGAAGCTTGAGAGGATGAACTGCAATGTTGCACCAATACTTATCATGATGCAAGGTTTTCGGAACAATACTTTGAATAACGGCGTTACTACGTAACATTTACACATAAATATGAGCATTCTTATAGATAAATAAGTAAATAACCACCGTAAACCTTCACAAGATCATTTATTCCAGCAAAAGTAAAATTTGACACTCTATATGTGATATCCATACCCCGGTTAAATATTTTTTTATAAAGCCCGAAATATTTATTTTATATTTGTGAAAAAAGCGCCAAAATATTTACAAAAACTTTTTTTTTCAACATCTAAAGACTCATAAATTCCAGTTTCAACTATAATTCATCACCCTATACATAAATTAGGCAGAGATAATTAGATTTTAATTATCAAAATCATCATTCAAAAGTTCAAAGTGAGAAACAAGTTTCATTGAGACTTGCTGGCGTTAATCCACGGCGTCTGTCTGAGGAGGAGAGACTCTCTACATGTCATTCTCAGATCTTGATCAGATTTTGCTAAATTTAGGACATTCCATTTCTCACGAATTATTCAAAAACGTTCTAAATTTCAAAATAGTTGAGAGATTTACTAAATAGATACGATTATGCAAGTATGTAGGATCACAAAAATGTAAATTTTATCAAAATTCGAGCTAAATTGGATTTTTGTTGACAGTTGAAGAACATAAAAACAAGCTTTTTTGTCAGTGTTGCAAATACTAAATACGTCTAGGTTCATGTGACACTTGAATTTCGTCACTAAAAGTCTTGCTTTTTGATCATTTGGGAATATTCCCACCCATAAGCTAACATGTGTCAGTAAAATCACAATATTGTGATTTTACTGATTTAATTTAAATTTACATGTATTGCGATAAAATCGGCATGCTAATAAACGGTAAACCTTAATTTTTATAGAGGTCAAATTTTAGGTCAAAAAGGTCACGCAGCGACTCCTTACTCAACTTCGTTTTAGACAATCGCATTTGGATAAAAAATATCCAAACCCCATATTTTTACGACTTCTGGTTGGCCCACAATGAAGAGGTATGTGTAAAAGATACCCCTTCATACCCCAAAGATGGGTCCCTCAGAGGTACCCTTGACCTGTGGATTTTTTTAACAGCCATTTTTTGCATCGTTTGGACGTACTTCACTACCTAGTATTACAATTTATCAACATTTAAATACAAATGTTTCAGGGGGTTCATAGAAAAAAAAAAGTCCTCAATAACTTCTTGCCCCCACTCATGTTTCGCGTAAATTTTGTTGTTGTTAACTATTTCGATATTAGATCATAATTTCAAAAAATTGAGAAAAACATGAATGGGGGCAAGAAGTTATAGCGCTTTAAAATTGTCATTTAAAATTTTGAAATTTGATAATTTTCAACTTTTGAAAATTTTATCAAGTAAATTACGGCAAATAAAATAAAGTTTAAGTTGGAGTAAGCTGTTTCAACGCTCTGTTGTACGTGATATTTCAAATGCAACGCGTTCATAAAATTTCGAAAAAATAATAGCTCGGCCAATATTTGAAATTTAATTTTTTAATTTTTTTGACGTTAAGTTCTTTTACATACTGGTGATTATTAATAAATTCGGGGACAAAATCTGAGACCTATGCCGCAATTGGAAATAGGCCTTCAAGAAAACTGAGTCTATTGTGTTGTCATTCTTGTCTTTATTTAATGTACATGCATTAAATAAAGACAAGTGTATACAGAATGTGTATACACATTATGAATTAGTGTAATACAATATCATGAAAATAAGAAATTACGCAAAAGTAAACAAAAATCCAAAAATGCCAACAAATACATCAAAACCCCGAAAAAATTCAGCAAAAAATTAAAATATCACGAAAAAAATATATTTTGTTAAAATATGGAGAAATATTGACGAAAATATTTATATGTGCGAAAAGTCCAAAATATTTTTTTAAAATTGAAAACATTTTTGAATTTTTGATAACCACAAGTGTTGATAAACAACCCTACAAATTATGGGGTTCGACGTGCTTGAAATGAAAAAGTCATAAATAAATAAATACCCGGGGTATGGTGATATCCGCGAAGTATAAATAAACTCAATTACAAAATTTGTAACAATTGCGAACTAATTAAGCATAATTCGCATAGACATGCATCTCAATATTGATCATGTTGTTCATGGACCGACCCCTTCAGCTGGTGGACAGATACGTATTTACTCTGTCTCGATTATTTTGTTTTGCAAAAATTTGTGAGTTCCTGGGCACTCCCAACTTTGCAATCGGTGTCAACTTCTTCCCATTAAACCCATTTCGACGGTGGTAGATGAAGGTTTTCATCTTGACCGTGGCTGACCGTCCTTTTGCCGTGTTTTTGGTGCTACCTACTCCACCTCAACTGGACTTCCCTCGTTTCCTGCCTAGTAGACTCTCCCCTTCCCAATCTTCTGTAGGATTGGACTGCAACGTATCATCCATTCATTCTGGGGGACAAGAATTTCGTCAGCCCCTCTTTTGGGAAAAAAGCCACTGGGTGTGGTTCTGCTTGGTGCGTAATACACCTCTACAGCAGTAACCATACCCGCCCGGCAAGGCCCGGCAAGTCAATTAATTCATTATTTAATTATTGACATCTTCTCCTTTTTGCTAAACATCGCCCTAAAAAAGTTTTCTCGCTTATCCTTCCTGAGATGGACTTGGCCACCGCTTGGAAATTGGATTGATGATGACTGGAACCTTATGTGAAACATACCATCTGCCCATCAGACAACGACAACTGACTCTAATTTGCATCTCGCGTAAATTAGATCGAGTATTTCCCTCGGCCCTTTCAATATGAAGGCTCTGGTTGACGCCATGTCTCGAACCCAGTCCTCCACATACAATATCATCCTGCCTGGAAAATCTTCCGATGATGAGAACGCTGAGATCAACAGCGTTTGTGAGGCCAAATACATGTACGACGATGGCGAGAACGAAACGGGACCCGACTGTCATCTTTGTGGCCAAGAAATTTATGACCTTGCGAGTATTTTCACCTATAAAGGAACCATCTACAACTTTCTTTTTAAAGATGACATTTCTGATTCTGAGGGTTATACCTGGAGAGATGGAATGCTCCAGTGTATTTACTGTTTTAATTTCTTTCACAAGAATAATTGCAATGTTTCCATGTCTGATTATTCTTATTGTAAAATATGTCTTTCTAAAAATTGGGCGTGCCTCACTTGTGTTCCAATATTTAAAAGTAAGTCCTTTAATACGAGTGTGTTTTACAAGCCTATTGATTTTAAAAAAGTACTCCTTAAATTAGTGAAAGTATTGAACCCGGTACGAGATCAACTCTCTGATATGTACTTTACAACTATGGATTTTAAGTGCAAGTATTTAATTTGCATTAGCATGTTGGAAAACGGTGGTATTGGGTAACCAAAATTATTTGACATGGATTGTTTACCTTGGTTATAATTCGGTACTCTAATTTGATTAATAGTTTGCTTTTCAACTGTTCAAATTGAACTTGGTTTTCAGATTCAATATTCTATGTTATCTACATGAAGTGATTTTATTCTTATTTTAGGTTAATTACAGAGTTATATCTTTTTGTGTCATAGTTTTTAAATCAGTTTTTTTAAACTGATAACTATTAACACGTGAATAAAGGTTTAAATCAAATCAAATCAGATCAACTAAATTATACAATATCACCTGACTTTTTTTAAGCTACTTCGCATGAAGTAAATGTTTCTCTTAATTATTAAAGTTTCCCACCCATAGATACATATATGTGTCCATACTGCTATTTAATAAATTTACGAGGTTGGATAAGCAAACATGTAAATTTCAGACGCGCAAGTCCCAAACCAAATTTGAACCACCAGAGCGTTACATATACCCTTAACTTTTGGTAACATTTCTTAACAATTGCACAAATTAAAATGCGACATTCAACAACGAAAATTGTCCATCCTGCCGAAAGCAGACCCGCCACCAAGATTAGAGTTTCGTCTAAATCCGAACGTGTAATCATCCCCGTGTCCACGATTTCCGGGAATTGTTCTACCTTCATAACACCAAGGTAAAAATAAGGGTATCTGAATTTAAACAAGTCATCCCAAAAGTTTTGGACCCCCGCCTCCCTCATGTAACCAATAAGTTTGGCGTAATCTTCCTGACCTTGCATACCGAATTGGTTGAATACTGGTATTTTTGTTAGGCGGTCAACCGTATAACACTTCCATGAGCAACTTATACCCAGTATATTGTGATTTATCAACTATTGCGTATTTTTCATGCAGGTTTATTTCTGCCAAATTTCTGCTCGTTAACTCTTTAAAGACCAATTGATTTCGGATATTTTTAAACTTCTTAATTCCTATAAATTTCAAGTCTTCTTCATAATTTGCATAAAAAAAACCTTCAATCTGGGACGCATTATAATCTGACCACCCTAGGGATGGTGCCAACCATTGTTCAATTTCGACAGATATGGTTTTTAAATCGAGTGGATAGTTGAGCTTATATCCGTGATCTAGTAAGTGCTTAAGATTCCTGAAAAGTGGTCGTTTCATTGGGACAACTAATTGAGATGTAATGTAATTTTCATACGATAGTAGCAAAAAGATGAAAATCACTGCTACCAAAGTAATTATGTAATGCCGCTTATTCGGCGCTGACTGACGAACTAGCTCTCTAATCAATATCGATAAATTTGAAATGTACCCATGTATCGGCAGCTTATAAACGTCACGCCTTCCAACTATCGATAAACTGGATAAGGATATCGTGGCCAGGATAAAGACCCAAATCCATGTGCCAAAAGGAAAAACCCAAACCCCAATTTTGGACAGATT